CACATACAAACAAGTAGAATAATAGTATAGATTTTTTACATTGTTTAGTTGAGATAAAGCAGTTTTATATCTTTCTAGCTGTATAAAATAACTTAAAGTATTTCAGATGTATTTAAAGATTTTAAAGCCCGCTTTGGAATGTTCATTATTAAAAGTGTACAACAATAATCGTACATAGTTGTCAGTCATTCGATCCTCCTACAATTTCCTTGTTTTTATACTGTTGTTATGTTTTCCTAATACAATATTGTACTAGCTAATATTTTTCAAAGACTGCAATGCATTCTGGAGATTTGAATGCATTATCAAAGAATAAGAAAACATACGATATGTCTGCTGAAAACTAATTTTGTTGTTCCTCTGATTTTGCGTATGATGTTTTATGAAAAACAAACAATATCATCCACTGTTCCTGAACGGACTTACATAGAAAACAATATGATCCGAATGTCCGTGTTACGAATAATCTGATTTAATCCGAGTTTACACCAACATTTTTGTATGTTTCCTTTTCAACGTATAAATACATATATAATGTACGGAATAGCAAAAGTCTGTTCATCTGGGAAATTTTATTCAAATGTTGAAACATCCTAATGTACATAATTGATAATGTAGAAATACCTTTAATTTAGTTTTAAAAGAAATCAGTTTTTCTGTAGGATTAAACGATTTCCCATTTTGCTCTTTACAATTTCAACAGAAGACAAGCTCTTGAAAAATAGGGTAGGATGTACATTGATTTAAATAAAATATTGTAAGTTCGGGTTTTCATTACTCGCCATATCTTGTTACTGCAACACTACATATTCCAAAAAACTGATGAACATATTCCATTTTTAACATTCTTAGTTTGTAACTAAAGGTAGTGAAATAATACGAAATGATATGTTTTAGTTCTTTTTTAATATACATTAAGAAACAACAGAATACAAGTGACTTTATAATCCCTCAGTCTTACCGCTAGCATTTATACGTCTGTAATATGTGTAAGAAACGTTAAAAGTAGCCAGCCTTACTTCTCTAGCTTTTATACTTCTACAATATTTGTAAAAGTGTTAATGGTACACATGCTTACTTCTCTAGCTTTTATACTTCTATAATATTTGTAAAAGTATTAATGGTACACATGCTTACTTCTCTAGCTTTTATACCTCTATAATATTTGTAAAAGTGTTAATGGTACACAACCTTACTTCTCTAGGTTTTATACCTCTATAATATTTGTAAAAGTATTAATGGTACACATCCTTACTTCTCTAGGTTTTATACCTCTATAATATTTGTAAAAGTGTTAATGGTACACATGCTTACTTCTCTAGCTTTTATACCTCTATAATATTTGTAAAAGTGTTAATGGTACACAACCTTACTTCTCTAGGTTTTATACCTCTATAATATTTGTAAAAGTATTAATGGTACACATCCTTACTTCTCTAGCTTTTATACTTCTATAATATTTGTAAAAGTGTTAATGGTACACAACCTTACTTCTCTAGGTTTTATACCTCTATAATATTTGTAAAAGTATTAATGGTACACATCCTTACTTCTCTAGCTTTTATACCTCTATAATATTTGTAAAAGTGTTAATGGTACACATGCTTACTTCTCTAGCTTTTATACTTCTACAATATTTGTAAAAGTGTTAATGGTACACATCCTTACTTCTCTAGCTTTTATACTTCTATAATATTTGTAAAAGTGTTAATGGTACACAACCTTACTTCTCTAGGTTTTATACCTCTATAATATTTGTAAAAGTGTTAATGGTACACATCCTTACTTCTCTAGCTTTTATACCTCTATACTATTTGTAAAAGTGTTAATGGTACACATCCTTACTTCTCTAGCTTTTATACCTCTATACTATTTGTAAAAGTGTTAATGGTACACATCCTTACTTCTCTAGGTTTTATACGTCTATAGTATTTTTAAGTAAATAATTTTAACAGTAGACAGCCTCATTTCTCTAAGTTTTATGTCTATGATTCTTAAGTTCTTTGCTTTAAAAGCCTGTATTATTGGTTACCTGTCTGTTAACACTAATTGCTCAGCGGAATGTTGGAAATCACACAAAAGACCCAAGTTGTCCATGAAACGACTGTGCATCAGTTCATTCAAAATGGACAGATCATATCCACACAATTATTTAAGCAATGGCTTAATGTTTGGTTTCAATTCCCGTACTTTCGAGGTCACTAAATATAATGAATATGTATATATATATATATATATATATATATATATATGTATATGTGTGTGTGTGTATATATATATATG